CACTGCTTTTCAATATAATACTGGAAGTCCTAGCCAGAGCAATAAGACAAGAGAAAGACATCCAAGGAATCCAAATAGGAAAAGAAGAAGTCAAACTATCACTATTTGCAGATGATATGATAATATACATAGAGAACCCCAAAATCTCCACAGAAAAACTAATTCAACTCATCAGTCAGTTCAGTAAAGTGGCAGGATACAAAATCAACACGCAAAAGTCAGTAGCCTTCCTATACATAAACAATAAATCTGAAGAAGAAGAAATCAAAAAAACCACCCCTTTTATTATCGAAACAAAAAAAATCAAATATTTGGGAATAAATCTAACAAAAGAGGTAAAGGACCTATACAAAGAAAACTATAAAACACTGTTAAAAGAAATAGAAGAAGACACAAAGAAATGGAAAGACATCCCCTGCTCATGGATTGGAAGAATAAACATTATTAAAATGGCCATCCTACCAAAAGCAATATACAGATTCAATGCTATTCCAATCAAAATCTCAATGGCATTCTTCAAAGAAATAGAACAATTATTGATGAAATTCATATGGAATCACCAAAAACCCCGAATAGCCAAAGCTCTACTGAAAAAAAAAGAAGGAAATGGAGGCATCAAACTTCCAGACTTCAAACTATACTACAAAGCCATAATCATCAAAACTGCATGGTATTGGAACAAGAACAGACATACAGACCAATGGAATCGAATAGAAAATCCAGAAATAAACCCACAGATTTATGGTCAACTAATCTTTGACAAAGGAGCAAAGACTATGCATTGGAGCAAAGAAAGTTTGTTCAATAAATGGTGCTGGGAAAACTGGGTCGCTACATGCAAAAGAATGAAGCTTGACCACTACCTCACACCATACACAAAAATCAACTCAAAATGGATTAAAGAACTAGACATAAGACCTGAAACCATAAAATACATAGAAGGAAATATAGGCGAAACACTACGGGATTTGCACATCAAAGACATCTTTACAGACACATCACCCAAAGCAGTGATAGTGAAGAGAAAGATAAACAGCTGGGACTACATCAAATTAAAGAGCTTCTGCACAGCAAAAGAGACAATAACAAAAACAAAGAGAAACCCCACCAACTGGGAGAACATTTTTGCACCCAACACTAATGATAAAGGACTGATCACAAAAATCTGCAAAGAGCTGATGAGACTCAGCAACAACAAAGAAAATAATCCAGTCAAAAAATGGGCAGAAGAGCTAAAAAGAAACTTCTCTGAAGAGGAAATGCAAATGGCCAACAGACATATGAAAAAATGTTCAACATCACTTGCAATCAGGGAAATGCAAATCAAAACTACCATGAGATACCATCTCACACCAGTGAGAATGGCACATATTAAAAAACTAGCAACAACAAATGTTGGCGAGGATGTGGAGAAAAAGGAACTCTTCTGCACTGTTGGTGGGAGTGCAAACTGGTCCAACCACTATGGAGAGCTGTGTGGAGATTTCTGGACCTACTAAACATAGAGCTTCCATATGATCCAGCAATTCCACTCCTAGGTATTTACCCAAAGGACACAGAAACATCAATTCCAAAGAGCACCTGCACCCCTATGTTTATAGCAGCACTGCTTACAATAGCTAAGCTTTGGAAACAACCCAAATGCCCAAAAGTAGATGACTGGATCAAGAAGATGTGGTACATATATACCATGGAATATTACTCAGCATTCAAAAAAGATAAACACATGCAATTTGCAGCAACATGGATGGCGCTGGAAGGGATCATGCTCAGCGAAATAAGCCAAAAAGAAAAAGAAAAATACCGGATGGTCTCACTCATAGCAGGAATCTAGAAAACTTAAATAAGGGACCAGGAAAATGAATATAAGAAAGTGAAAATCAAAATCAACAAAAAACTATGAACCAGAGACACTTTTTGGGGGTGGGGGGCGGGAGGGGAAGGATTGGGGTCAGAATGGGGCGTTTGCAATTGTATGGGGGAATATAAAAATAAAATTTAAGATTAAAAAAAAAATTATAATCTAATGATATAATTATAATTTATTGATAGCACAATTATGAGAATTATAGCAAAAAAAGCAATTTCAATAGACTAGAAGGCATATTTCTTTTGCATGAGGATTAACTTGATTGTGGTCAGTGAGCTTGCTTGGTGAAACTATTATGTCAACTTGTCCAAAGCCAAAGGTTTGGTTCACCTATGGACCTGCAGGCTACCTTCCGTGATCACAGATTAAGTACAAACACTGATCATCTGTATTTAATACATTCTAGTTTTAACTAGAAAGCTATTAAGAAAATGTAAATTGATTAATCCAAATTCATGTGTAACTTTAGAAAAAATGAATTGGCAAGTGCATTCTTATTGATCATAGTATAGTTACATGGCATGAATATAAATTCCATGACTGAAAAGTACTTCAAGTTGTTTGGAGTCAGTTTGTTAATTTTTGTAGAAAAAAATAAAGACTAGAAAACAAAAAGTAACTTAAATCAGATCATATGGTAACATTTTAGCAGAACTAGAACTCTTAACCCATGTCTTGCTTTGATTTATTCTTTGACTAACAATTCACTAACAAAAATTCACTAACTATACTATGATATGTACATTATATATGCACTGAATTATATAACTTGGTTGTTATTCCAAGAGCTCAAGTGAGAGATTAATGTTGGGTCAGATCAATAACTGTATGAATGGCAATAAGTCATCAAAGTCTGGATATGCTTTGATTGTAGCACCAACAAAACTTCATATGGTGGATGTGAAGTGTGACAGAACAGAAGCGTCATGGGAGCAAGGAAATATGTCTTCATTCTGGAAGTCCTAAATTCTTAAACTGAGAATCCTTTGCTCCAATTTACACCATGATTTACTTATCCTTACCTCTGTGAAATGAAATCCATTGCCATCTACACATGTTCTCTCATGAATGAGGCAGCAGCCAGGATCAAACCATTCATAGTAAAAATAAACAAACTGAACATGACCCCTAACCTAGAAGGAGTTTATCATTTGGTAGTTGAAATCCCTTTAAATGGGAAGGAGATAAATTTGGCAGCATTACATATGTAGCTAAAAGTTACAATTTGATGTTAAATTGGAACTCTTACGGACATCTGTTGAGACGAGGGAACCAAGTCCACCAAATGTCCATTGACATGACAGATGGGGGAACATCTGGGACAGAATTCATCCCATAGGTAGTGGGAGAATCAAGCATCTGAAAGGAAGGCTAATTATAGGTCTAGCACAGTGTTACTGCTCCGCCTTGTCGCCAGCTCAGCTCTTTGTGGACTCTTAGCCATGCTCACCTCTCTCCCAGGGAAGGAGAACATTGAAAACAAAGAATTTTTTTTTTCAAAAAAATCCTCTTAGATATGAGAGTAAAAGCCAATACTGCTTTGGGAGACCTCTATGATATATAGCCCAGAAAGGTACAGAAACACCAATTGGATCATAGCTTTGGTTTCAAGGGGCTGCAGGTTTTAGTAATGGTACCCATTGGTACTAGGAGGAAATCCTCAACAGCTTGGGTGTTTGTTATTACCATATTACCTAGGATATGTCTGTAATCCGCAGAAGAGGTAGAGCAGAGAAAGAGTGGGATTAAAAAAAAAGTCGATATCACATGTAGCTGACCTCCTTTTGGGCAGGCACAAGTGATACTCAAAAATACTTGTGTGAACTCAGTTGCACTATTAGCAGGTAAGCAAGAGCAAAATAACTCAAGCAAAGACTTTTGTTTACATTAGCATCCTTGTCCAGTTTCTAAATAGTGATGTTGGAATGAGTTCCTGATACTCCAATTTACACACAGTAGCAATTTGGGTAATTATATTTCATAATTAGACAATCTATACACTCAAGAGTTCCCATATTTGCCACATCTGTTCAAGATCTCCTGAATCCATGTAGATAGCCTCTTCAGGGGTATTAAAGGAAATAAACTCTACAAAACAGAATATTGTTCTTTTGAAAATGGTAAACATGAGAATTTTCTAAACAAGCACCCTTCATAAAAGCAGTCTTCTCACAAAAACAATTAAAAGGATTGAATATCTGTATACCATCTGTCATGGTGCATATCTTGAACATCTTACTCTGTATAATTCTTCATCGCACTTACATCCTTTTCACTCTTAAAGGAAATAATATTCCTTCTTTAACAATGTCCTCTTAATAGGCTTATGTTTCTATAAGCATTTAAGTAGCTTCATGGCTATATTGTGTTGAAGATACAAAATGATCTTTTGTGGCAGTGTGCCAATTTTACCCAAATTTAATAATTCTCTTAATCTCCAATTATATTTTGACCTCAACTCCACACCTCTCATACCTGGAAAGTATTATTATTATAGACACCCATTAAATCAACACCCCTTTAAAATACATTCATTCTGAAAGTCTGCTCCCACACAAGTACATATATTCTAGAAGAACAAAGATTTTAGAACCTACCACATGCTGAAAGCACCACTGTTAGTCACCCTATAACCGTAAAGATATTATCAAACTCAAAAGTGCAGTTATATGTTTTCACTTGCATTCCACCAGCTCTTTAAATTTCAAATTTTAATATATATTTTCATCTTTATTGCTACCCTCCACCCAGCAATACTCCAGTAAAGTTTCTGTGTTTTTAGACATACGAAGATACAAGTATTTGTGTGTTTTGTTTTGTTTCATTGATTTAAGGGGCAGAGTGTCCAGGAACCAATGAAAAGAATAATTCTTCAGTCCAAAATATATTCTGGCAACTTACCACTTTTTCCCAAAACCGTCTCATCATTTGTCCTAGAAGCCTGTACCCGTGCCCTTCTATCAGGAAAATGCTGATAATCCCACTCAGTGACATCCTCAACTAGTGGTCAGGCCACAGAGCACATGCACCCACCTGGGAGTCAGGAAGGCCAGCTTTATGGGAGCAAGGATATGTATGTCAAAGTGTGTGAGCACGTGTTAGAGAGACAGAGAGAGATAGAGACATTTACCTTCCAATGAGTGAGAACTCGCCCACTACACCCAGCCGCCGCATGGCACTCAGCAGGCCTCGGACCGTCATGCCTTCACAGAAGCAAACCACCACCCTGGCCTTCGGGAGTCGTTCCCGGAGCTTCCGCAGGAGCCGGTCAAAGCTCTTCTCTCCAGCGTTGCTGTAGATTTTGTCTGAATGAGCGATGCAAAGGCCTTCCTGGGCAGCCAGCTCTTTGAAAGCATCCATTCCGCTCTCCCCATAATTCCCTGTCCAGAAATAATCAGCAGATGTTCAAGACAACCTGGTGGCTGCAACATTTACAAGCTGGAATAAGGGTCCATTAGTCACGGGGAATGGAGAAGACAGGCTTGCCAAACAATGCTTAAAGATACCTGGGACTGACTGAAGGATGATCTGGATGGATTAAAGAGAGCCATCAATCACATGTCATCAAATGATCTGTTCTGTGAAAATCAGAGGCTATCTGAGCTAAGGTGTCCACAGTGAAGTAACTTTTGAGAAATGAAGGACTGCTGCCCTCTTTGACAGCTACAATTAATGACTGTCCCAGATCTTAACAACTTGGGAGAGGTCAGCACACTGGGGCAGGGCGGTAACAAGGACAGAAGCCGGGCTATTCATGGGAGAGCTAGCTTACGCTACCTGCCAGATTAGCAAGCAGACACTCTGGGGGACAGCAAACCCTGCAACATTTCCATGTAGAGTAAGCAAAACAAATGGAACACCTCATCAAGCCAGAGACAGCAGAAAAGAAACACCTATATGGCTTAGTCAAAAACCACCTTCATTCAGATGAAGCCATATGTTTTTCTTTAATATCATTATAAAAATATACTTAAAACACTAAGGACTCAAAGAATCAATGAAATAAAACAAATATCACATTGTGCCAATTCCCCATCACTTTCACTGAGTTTAGTGCCCACTGTAGTGCTGACCACATCTCTGCTCCTTTCCCTGAATTTGGAGATTTCTGCATCAATGAAGATAATCCAGTACTATATCCTCACAGTTTCCCAGCCTTTTCCATCCCATGGTATTTCTCGTAGCCCATTTTCTTCCCTAGTCATATTTTTTACTTCATTATCACATATGTTTCTAATATCTCTGATGTGGGTGTCAAACATCCCAGTCTGTTTATTCCCACTTATCCTTCCAGCTCATATATTCTACTACCCTTACTACAGCATTTCTTTGACCCCAGAAAAACTTAAAATCCATTTACCCCCCATTTTTTTCTTTCCTTCTTCCCTATCATTGGCCTCTTGTTCCAGCTTAGATCTTGGAGTTTATCCACAAAATTACTCCCTTGCAAATTCACTAACTCCCAGTGTTCTCTTCACAAATTCCTAATGATAGTTAAATCCCGCCATTCATTATTCCATGTCTATACATTAAGAACCTAAACATGGCTAGAAAAATACCTACAACCTTGCTGACTGCATTTATTTAAAAATCCATATGCAAAAAATAAAAATCCACATGCATACATCCCAAAAAAGGAGCACTTAGTAACACAAAGATGTTATACATCTCCCATGTAAATAAATTTTCCTAGTCTCTAACATGATCATTTCATTCTCTTCTCAAATCTCCAAACCACTAACCCCCCTTTTCACCTCCATCTCAGCTGGGATCTTTGGCTTCATGTTTCAAGAACACAAAAGTAAAAGAAAACCAATTCCGCCACACACCAAGACATCTAGGGAGCTTTCTTCATTGGTGCTTGTATTCTCTGGCATCTCTCCTGGTACAAATCTGAAGTGTTTCTCCCAAAGAAAGGAACCCATGCCTGATTATGAACACTAGGACACCCCACTTTTTGTCTATTCAAATAATTTTTCCTATAATTGACCCTTCTCTATTATAAAGCTATTTTTCCCTTCTAATAATGTCAATCAAAAAGAAAAAAAAAAAAAAACAAACCCTGAGGCTCTGTCCTACTTGAGTCACTACTTCACTCACAATGCCTATTCACAGCAACAACAGTTGCCAAGGTCAATGTGTTTTCTTTCTTTCTCCCACTCTCTCTTTTACTACTTATTTTCATCACTTCAGAATCTTCTTACCAAATTCTTCTCTTGTCAAGGTCACGAATAAGTTTCCTGTTACCTGTCCCATGATCTGTTCTGTCTTCATCTCTATTTACTCAGCTGCATTCAATTCTCTTAGAAACACTTTATTTTCTTGGTGCCTATGATACGATCCCCTCAAGATTTCACTTACAGACAACTTCTCAATTTATTTGATAGATTTTCCTTTTCTGCTCAAACTCTAAATGTCATGCCAGGATGGGGTCCTGAGAAACTTTCTTTTCTTCATCTATACTCTCACTATTTAAGTGCTCCTTTCAGTAACATTTCTTCAAATACCATTTGAATACCATGGTTGGATCCTAAATATAGATCTACATGCTGTACTGCCCTTTAGAACAAAAGATTAGTATATTAAATTGCCCTTCTGACACATCCATTTATAGACATCTCAACTTTAACATATCTGAAATAAAGTGTTTCCCTCTCTACCTTGCAAACCTGCTCCTTCCGGACATCTCATATTAGTAAATAGTGCCATCATCCAGCAAATATTTAAATAACAAAATTTAGGAGTTGTTCTGTGTTTCATATTCTAGATGTTTGTGTGGAATATGTCTAAAATATTCCTAATCCAGGGCCTCCCCGGTGGCACGGTGGTTAAGCGCTGGGCTGTGAAGCTGCCTACAGACTCTGCAGCGCCGGTTTGAACCCCGGCCCCTGGCAAAGGTCCCACATGGCGCGCAGACCTCTACTGCTGCGCCGGCTGTTCCCTTCAGCAGTGTATTTCGTCAGTGTGCCTGTTCTGCTTCCTGCTCTGGCTCTGGTGAATTCTCTCACCCTCCCGCGCTCTGACTGTACCCAGTGCTTGTATAAATAAATCTTTAAAAAAATAAATTAATTAATTAAAAAATATATATTCCTAATCCAGTCCCTTTCCTTTATTTCAGCCTCCGCCGCCCTAAACTCAGTGTCTTACTCGGGTTCACTAAAAAGGAAGCCAAGATGAAGATTCATGTACAGGTTAGTTATTGAGGAAGGGAGGAGAAAGAGAAGCAGAAGATGAGCGTGAAATAATGAAGATGATTTTCAGTTTGATTTCACAGTAAGTGCTAATGCAGAAATTATACCACAAAGATAGTCCCCTCCCCTTTGGCAAAGGGCTTGTTTTGCCAGTCATTGACTAAGGCTTATGTGAAGAAAGAGGAGGTGTTGCCTTCCAAAAAAGGGTCAACTGAGATTAAGAAAAGTCTACTGTCATAGTAACTGGGAGATTGGTTAACCTGGTAGGTAGAAAGAATTTCAAAACACCACTGACAGCTTCCTCTACCCCATTAATTATCAATTTCTGCCTAGACAACTACCCTACTCACCTGATTGGTTACCCTGCTTTGACTCTTGTTCCCACTCATTACACACCCAGCAAATAAAATTATCCATTAAGCTGTAAATCAGATTCTATCACTCTTCGGCAGAAAGTTTCAATTTCTTCTTGACATACTTGGAACGATACCAAAACATCTTCTGTTGAACTAACATGTTATTCTTGGGCTAAAGGTTCCGACATCTTCCATCCCTACATCTGCCCATTTCTCACCTCCAGCCCCCTTGCTGATCTTTCTCTTCCTGGATTACCTAAACTACTCCTGTTTCTAGACTAGCCATTTCAATGACCTAAAAAGAGTTCTATAATGTTCTTGCCAATGTCTTTTTTTTAATTTTATATATATTTTACATCATTCTTCCTTTTTGTTCAAGGTATGCTTTCTCCTCTCAGATGCAATCCCCATAAAATTCCCACCAAGTCATCCATGCACCATCACCATAGTCCTTTGTGCTCTTCCCTTCCATTTTGATCCTTCTCCCTCCCCCTACCATGCAGAATGTCTCTGACTTATAGTTGTCTGTCAATTTTGTTTTTTAATTTATTATAATTATTTTTCCCTGATCCCTTATTTGGTTTCCCTACATTTCTCTTATAAGTGAAACCATCTGATATTTTTCTTTTTTCTTTCTGGCTTATTTCATTGAACATAATCGCTTTAGCTCCATCCATGTTGCTGCAAATGGCATGGGTTTATCTTTTGAATGCTGAGTAAATATTCCATTGTGTACATATACCACATCTCCTTGATCCAGTCATCTATTTTTGGGCATCTGGTTTGTTTCCACATCTTACCTATTGTAAATAGTGCTGCAATAAACATAGGCGTACAGGTATCCTTTTGAACTCTTTTTGTGTTCTTTGGGTAGATTCCTAGGAGTGGAATTGATGGGTCAAATGGTAGCTCCATTTTTAGTAGTTTGAGGAACCTCCACAAAGCTTTCCATAGTGGTTGAAACAGTTTGCATTCCTACCAGCAGTGTAGGAGAATTCCTTTTTCTCCACATCCTCACCAACATTTGTTTTTTCCTGGTTTTTTTATATTTGCCTTTCTCACTGGTATAAGGTGGTATTTCATGGTGATTTTGATTTGCATTTCCCTAATTATATCATAAATATCACCTCCTCTGAAAAGTGTTAGATGATTAGCTGGCTTAAAGTAACCTCCCAGTAAATCCTAATTCCGTCCCTTGATTTTTCCTTAGTATATAAACCTAGTATTTTTTCTTGCTTTTTTCCTTCCCCCAGAACATAAGTTCCATGAGAATACCTTTTTATGATTTTTTTCAATGACATATCTTTAGTAGTTAGCATAGTTCTAGATAGTAAAATGATCAATAACAAAGCATTTGTTGTTAACAGGCCAATGGAGAAAGAGGTAATGCTTATGAACAATTTAAACAAAATAAGTAAAACTAGGTAATAAACACCTGAAAAAAATCACTGAATCTAATTATCAAGACAGTACAATTGTCAAAGATGCTACTTTTTCACCTATCAAATTACCAAAATTTCAAAGATTAATAATGTTCACTGTTGAGAAGGCTCAAATACATTCACTTTTAGTCAAAGCAGTTCAAACACTTAGTGGGTAATTTGGTAGTAATTTATAGGTATAAATCCCATAAATACATACTAGTCAAATTTTGATTTTAAAATAATGATATTATCCAAAAATGACCTAGCATTTAAATCTCAACACCTATAAAGGTGACATGGATCTTGTCATAAAACCTAATGAGATGTTCCTTATTCACTTTAGAAAAGAAAGTTTTCTTTTTAATAATATTAAATGATCATTGGATGTGTCTATCTGCCTCTTAATTTA